AAGAAAATTTCGTTCTTGATGATTTCAAAAAGCAACTTCGGACGAGTTTCCCGTAGGCATCTACCGATACCCGCTGCTCAGCTGTACCTAGCCGATACCCGCTAGATACAGCTGCGTGCATGTACTCATACATATCCATGAGCACCGCGGCCGCTTCATATCAATCCCTTTGCTTTATATTTTTCTTAGCAAATGAAGCAATAGGCGGGTGGGCGCGGTGGGCGTCCGGTTCGGTAAGTTGAAGCTTGATAGGGCTCTTTTAAGGGTAGGCAGCGCTTGCACAGGGTGCACGGAATTCCGTCCTGGCAGGCGTTTCAATCCTACTCGTCTGAGGGATTTATCGTGGCAACTGCCTTTAAGTCACCCACCCCGAAGATCTTTCCCGGGTTCCCCTCATGCAAAAGACGTCATCTAAATTGCGGTTCTATTTCTCAACAAAGGGTCCTTTGAAAATGCTTCCTCCGACGCTATTAAATCTTAATCCCTGCCACAAAATAAGGCTCTGGAAGAGGAGTGAAGGATTCCTACCAAAATAGTTTCAGCATTTATGCATAATTTATATGACAAGAGGTCCTCGTGCGTGCGCTACCCAAGCCGATTCCCGCAATTCTCCTTCCTTCCTTCTGCTGCTGGTAAATTAGCACAGACTCGGCTGCGAGGACAAAGGATCGACCTGCACATTGGTGGTCTTCGGGAGTTACTGGGTGGGCCAGTTTTTCCCGATATGACAGTTCAATTCTGTACAAGTGGAGTGCTGCGATTGATTGATGGGGGGAGATTCATCCAAATCCTTCAACCTCATCAACGACATCACTACAGGTGGCTTCTTCCGTTCCCGCTTGGGTTCAAAATGAGAGCTCTAATTGGAGTCTCCGTGAGATCGGCCGGCCCGGGTCAAAACGAAATAGTGGCTGACAGGCAGACAATTAGAAACAATGAAAACAAATGCTGGAAAAGGAACACACTCCAAAGCACAGATGATCCGTTTCGCCCAAAACAGGAGAGTGGCACGAGAATACGCAGCCCCGAACGCCCCTTTGTAGAACGTGATGCGTTTACCTCTTGCCATGATGGGGCTCGTAGAGGTTATTCATTTTTTCTCTCATGGAGTGCAGTAGAGTCAAGGAAAAGGAACCAAAGAAGTCAACGAGAACTATAGGAAACTGGAGATGCAACGTATGATGTAAGCTGCAGATACTGCAACCCAGAGTACACTTTTACCCAGGGGTAGTTTATAAGTGGTAGCACTCTTGTAATAGCGCTCTACCACTTGTTACGACTAGTGAAACGCCAATGCCGCCAATGGTACCAAAAGAATATCTAACCCACAAAAGCACTACAAAACTCCAGTTTACCTAACTGACATACAGAGAACTTTCACATCGAACTTTTAGCTTTCTCTTATCTTGAGCAAGGACCAGCAAACAGGGTACAGCATCGTGATGTGTGAAATGGTGGTGTAGGTACGACCCCTCCCCCTCGAGAGAGGGTGTCAGTACGATCCCCCTGCCTGAATGGGGGCCTCGGTACGACCCTCCCCCTCACCGGCATCTACCTACCAATTTCCCACATTTTCCAGTTTTTCACCCAATAGCCAAAGATTTTTCCGTCAAAGCGTCAGCGTGACGTGAGGGGTTAATTTAGTACGCGATGAAGACAGGAAAATCACGCAGAAAGTCCGTTCACAACGGCGGGAAAAATCTTTTTCCCAACGCGGAAATTATACCTCAAAGCCAGTACGCAACCCCCCCCCTCCCCCCTACCGAAAACACAAATATGACCCCCTCCCCAGCGGAGAAGTGCGACCCCCATTCTTTGACACAACGATGTTGTACCCTGCCAGCAAATTTGCTTCGCCACTAATTTACCCTCGCGCTAACAGAAATAAGGAAAAATGTGCGACAGAGGTGACGAATGGCACAGCAAAGTGTGGAGTGGAGGTATTACTGTCACCAGAAGTGAGGTTCAAGCAGAGGGACGGAGGCTAGTAATTGCCAAAATCCAAAGAACTTAGAACGAAAAGAGTCTGATAGTTTGACAAAGATCTTGGGAGTGTTAGGGTTCTGGACTCAGAGTGCGTCGGACAAAACTGCGCTTAATAACCTTGGAAATGCATGGAGGCTCGAAGGCTTTCAAAACACTAGCGAAATCGGAGAGTGATACAAACAGAAGTGGGTCCTGGAAACCCTAACAAACGTGTGAAGTCACCTCTATAAGATTAACAATAAAAGGCTCTAAACTCTCGTATACGTCGCTCTGCTTTTTTTCCTCGAACCTTTGAAGGAGTTCACTCGGCATTCCTGGTATAGGTGAAACCCTATACCAGGAGATAGGGGTCTGTACAGGGGAAATTCCATTGAGAATTTTTTGGAATTTACTTGGATATTCAAGAAAACATCCCAGCGTGCCTAGTGGTTCAACCAGGCCCGGTTTGAAAACCGATTAATCTCTGAACAATCATATAGTTTTTCAGTAGTTTTAGTCTGGTCCTGACAGCTCCGATCACCATTATGATATCTTTGCACGGCTGCAACCTTGGACATAACTATCACTGCCCACTTCTCATGAGTTCTACTAGGGTTGTGTGGCCAGAAAAACTGCTCCCGGCGTTAGTGTAACAGATTCGAGCAACGACGAAAAAGCGTTTGGAGTATGGACGAGAAAAAAATCACAAAGGAGTGGGCGCCAACGACGATAGCGCCTCCTCGTTGCCCGCCGAGCTATATAAGGCCGTCCGGTTGGAAAGGGAACCAGTCATCGCTGCTGTGTGAGCCAGTCAGTCAGTCAGTCGAACAGCCAGCTGAATCCTTCACACCGTCTTCACACTCCTGCTACTGCAATGGATACGTGGCAGTGTCAACGTCTGGCCGCTTATCGTTTTGTCGCCTATTCGGCGGTCACCTTTTCGGTGATTGCAGTACTGTCCATTTGTATTACATTACCCATGGTCTATAACTATATTCACACTGTGAAACGAACTATGCATCATGAGATCAACTTCTGTAGGGTAAGTTTACCTCCTGAAGACTTCCATACCCTCCTTGAGGGTTTTCATAGGCATTTACCAGAGTTTGAGATCATTTCTCTTCAGAAATCGGTCAAAGACATCTGGGGAGGAGTGACTGACATCAACAACTCACCACCTTCAAACCGTACTGCTCGTCAAGTAGACCTTCAAGATCGGAAGATAGCTGTGAAGGTTGTTGCCTACCGGGACCAACAGGACCACAAGGAATGCCCGGGAAACCTGGACGTCCAGGAATCCCAGGTATTCCAGGCCTACCAGGAGCTCCAGGGCGACCACCGATGTTCCCATGTGTACCGGTTACGCCGCCACCATGTCAGCCATGTCCACAAGGTCCTCCTGGAATGCGAGGAATGCCAGGACCACCTGGACCACAAGGTGAGCCCGGACGACCTGCAACCACTTATGGCGAAGCGAAAATGGGACCACCTGGACCAAAGGGACCGCCTGGACTTCCAGGTAATCCTGGAGCACCAGGAATGCCTGGTGAGCCTGGAATCAGTGTTATGTCTACTATGACTGGCCCTGGTGCTCCTGGACCAGCAGGACCTCCCGGCCCACCAGGTCTGCCAGGACGTGATGGAATGCCTGGAGCTGTCGCTGTCACAGGTAAGATTTCTGCACTGACGATACACTTGTTCTGAATCAATGTTTTTGATTTTTAGGTGAACCAGGACCAAAAGGCCCACCAGGAATGCCTGGTCCACAAGGACCTCCTGGAAACCCTGGTGCACCCGGTGAGCCTGGACCCATGGGACGGGCTGGCGAGCACGGAATCTGCCCGAAATACTGCGCTATCGACGGCGGTGTGTTCTTCGAAGACGGTACACTACGACGTCGTTAGAAGACGAAACATTGAAGGTGTTAAGGAGGACGTCTAGATCTGCCATTACGCTAATTAATTACATAGTAATAAATGTAGCAGATGAGAAAGGTGCACAGAGCTAAAAAGACGCCCTTTCAAGGGGTGTAATAATGGAACTAGTGTCGACTATAGATTTTTTTTCTAGTGGTCGTTTCCACTTCTTACTGCTATAAATTGACTTAGCCAATCATCAATAAGCACTTCAATTGAGGCACTTGTAAAAGAACGAAAAGAATGAGGAAATGAGACACACACAACACCAGTTTTGGCTAGATGGGAGTGTCGCCGAAGTTGTCTTGCCGGCACAAAAACTGCTCACACTCCTAAATAGAGTCAAGAGCTTAGCACGGCTCCATCGTCTATGGTTTTAGGCAGGAAAAACTCATTCAGGCCCCATTCAGCAGAAACTTGTCCACTCAGGGGCAGTGCGTGATTGAAGACACATTCCGTGGTTACCTGAAGAGCTTTTTCCTGCATAAGGAGCATATGGAAGGAGAATATTTATCTTCCCTCTTTTCTTTTGGCTCTCGCTACTTTCCCCACTCAGAAGTGCCCGTACATGGCAATAGGTGCTTGTGATGACTAGAATACCCGCCACATCTGGCAAAGATGAATACAGAGGACGCGCTGATCAAATGGCCGCGGTCGATTTCCCTTGCCCTTCACTGCGTAGCTGCGTTCTCGGCATGGGCAGCAGCGCTCTCTAGGCTCTCTAGCCGCGGCCGTATGCCTCTCTCAGGTGCTGCAGGGGAAAACAAGAGCTCTTTCTTAGCCCCTAAGTTTGAGGGTCCCAGCAGTCTCTCTTTCCTCATCTGACAACGATACTCAAAGGTGAGATTGGAAGAAAAAAGTCCTTGCCGTGGAAGGGATTTAGCGCCCCGTCTTTCTACTTTCGTGTTGCTTTATTGGATCGTCCTACACAATGACCTGGGTAAGTCAGCCGATGTCATTTTTTTTATATCATCAGGTTCTTATCCTCCTTAACAAATTTGCTACCAATAAAAGTTACGGAGGTTTGAAGTCTTTGTTGGCCTGGGCCCGAGAGCGGTACAGATTTGAACGCCAAGACGGCGTGAGTGGTAAGCGCGACAATTGTCGCTACATCACCTTCACCTCGACAACTCCCTTAGCACCTATAAATCCACGTTTGGACCCCAATAGTCACAAGTTTCAGGAACAGTGTCGTTGTGGAGTCCTGAAGGAGGGAGGGGGCGCATTAGTGACTTTAATGGGGGGGGTCACGCTAACGTGCCTGGCCAGGTCGCCACCGCAAGTGCGAGCGCGAAGATGTGAGGGGAATATGGGGATTTCATCTCTTGTTTCTCTCCGTCCCATTCCGGCTATCTTTTGTTCCTCTGTTATTCGGAAGTAAATGATGGAAGGATTAATCTTAGCCACTGATCGATCCCCTTCGGGGTGCGGTACGCATTCTACTTCTATTCGGAATCGCATGGCTTTTTGAAAGCGATATGGCCTATACAATAACTTGCGGAGGTCAGCCGATGTACAAATCAGTGTTCCTATCCTCCCAGACGCATGTGATACCAAGTTGCCGTCCCGCACGGTGGAAGGCCTGGTTGGGTAGGCCTGGGAGCCAATCTAGGATTTGACCTCCGAACCACGCGCGCTCTAAGCGTGCCACTTGCCACTACACTACCTTTCGCCTCGGTATCCGGAACTAAGGAGAGTTAATCATGCGGCTGAACTTCAACCTTGAGTTTTCAAAGGGTCGTATTCGAGGGACGAAGAGAGGGTCAGACCGCCCGGTGCTCCACTGCCACTCCCAAATGATAAAGCGAAAGTGGAACAGCGTGGCTGGCAATTAGCTCTTTAATGAGATTGCGTTGGACATAAACATAATTCCTTTGTGTTCTTTCCCAAGAAGGAAGTCATTTCCTTATGGAGAATTTTGTTCCAGTGAACTGTCCCTGATCAGTGAGGAGAAGGTAAGTTGAGGGGCACTGCAGCACTTCAGCACCGCAGAACACGATGTTCAAATCTCTCTAAAGCAGGCTGGCCAAACCTTCAATGTTTGGTGCACTTGGCAGTAGTAGCAGTGCCAAAACATCCGGTTCTAGCGCGACCAGCTCGGAAGGCAGTTATTTACTGATTTATGGCTGTCCACATGGTAGGGCACTTTCGCTCTTCTTGACTTTTTCTTTGGAATTCTTACCCCAAGACCAGTTTCTCTAGCCCCTAAAGACTTGTTGGGCCCTAAAGACTTCGTTTTTGTAAGATCGGTTAGCCTTTGCTTCGAGCGTTTCTCGTTGCACTAGTTGCTTTTCTCCGAGGGTTTTCGATGGTTTCTGGAGACGTACTTCATCCGTTTTCCATTTTCAGCGCCGAAGAATATGAACTGAAGCGAGAGAAGGATGAAAGCCGACAGAGTTTTACTTGGTAGCTCAAGGCCCATTGGGAACAGGAAAAATCTCAGCCTCTGCACGGCGATAGCGTTAGCGCGATGAAAGGCGTTTAACGCAGGATCACATTGTGCGACATTCGTGCCAAGACCAAACTGATTCAACTGACAAAGCTGCGCTCTATCAAGACAATTAACTAGGAAACACCCGCTGTCGCTACCGATATACACCCCTGCAAACACTATCTTTAAGGCGACCTCTCCCTTTTCCCCTTCTTGCTTCTCCTGATTTCTCTTCACCCTTCTCCTTCCACCCCAGCTGTTTCTCCTGAAGGTCCCGAATATTCCGCTGTTGAGGAGATTCCACGTCTTTGTCGGCTGATCTTCCATTTCCACATATGACCACTTTTCATAGCAAATCCTACACAACCCCTCCAACGATGTTTATTGACATACGCATACCCGCGCCCTGTGCATCCAGAGCAGGTCCCCTGACGGACTGCAGATCCATGGGGCTGCACTTCTCAGAGACTTCCTGCGAATAGCTACAGTGCGGACGGTGTTGCGTATTGTCAAATAACACGCCGTTGGAGGGTGTTGTTGCTGTCACGCAATGAAAGCCTGTCGACCAGGGTAATCACTACTAAGTTCCCATGATTGCTGAAAGGTTGGCTTCGTTGTTTGACTTCCGTATAAGATCCTGGAATGCTATGCAACAGCAGGATCTTCATTAACGTTTGCAGCGTTCCACAGGTTTCAGAAAAATAAACAATCAGCAGAATTAGCTGAGGAGAGTATAAACCGGAGAACCGGCATCACGTGAGCAAGCGAGTCCCTTCCCTCCCCCCTTCCACCCCACTGAGTCGAAGAGCGCCGATCCCTTCCGTGTGAGTCCATGCATTCATCAATTGCTTTCATATGACTCAGTTGCTGATTGTTGCTTACTTATGTTGCTTGTGTATGTGTTAGCAGTTTGACTCCTACTACATATGACTCAGTTGCTGATGGTTTCTTGCTTATGTTGCTTGCATATGTGTCAGCTTGTCTCCTACTAATGAGTTGTTTTATATATTGCAATAGTTAATGTTTCCCTCCCTAGGTTTGAACACCTTTCTTTCTCCACCCCCCGGCTTCTACTACACGCATTACACGTTCGGCACGATGCTAAGTGGACCTTGGTGGAGTTGACGGACCTACTAAGATGGTATCCGGAGCCGCTCTTCTCTCCTCTCGCGACTTGCAGTGTTGGTGGGCCACTGCTCTGCACCACCAAGTGTTCCACTGCCTCCTCGTTGCCGCTCCCTTCCCCCGCTTATTCCGCTCAATCCATTTTCTACAACTTATTTCTATGTGCCGCTTTGTTTTATCATGCTGTTGTTCATTAATTGCATGCTGCCGCTTATCGGTCAATGTTTTCAATAACTATGTTGTGTTTTGTTCTGCTTTACTAACCGATAATAAATCATAATCATATCGACTCCAACGCTGTGGTTAATGGTGTGACTATCCGGAACCGTTCAGAACTTCGCTGTATTTCGTTGGCTTGTTCTTTATTCTTGCCTTGGAGCCTTCTCCCAATCCCCCCCCTCCCCCCGGCGAAGGATACGCACTGTCCCTTGATATGACTCTCCCAAAAAATGCTCCACACAGGAATGAAGATGGGATAGGCTAATGTCACAAGATAATCGTAATATACCGCGTCGGCAAGTGTCGCGCGCGACGCCATGCCCGACAGACGGATTGTCTCGCCGTTGAATTTGGCTGGAGAGGACATCTGATTTTACCGGTCATGGAGCTTACTCCTTCTCAAGCCTTTCGTTGCTCAACATTGTCTATTCACGTATGGTGTCCTCCAATCGACAAACCGTACATACCGAGGAGTGGCCCCGTCTCGCCGCACGATACGTCGCACGCGACGACGCGACGATTACTTCGTCCACCGAACGGATCAGTTTAGCATCACATATCCGATGAGTTTCATGGGCGTAATAAGCGTAAACAAGGGCGCTTTACACAGCGCATAAAAGCCTATTACCCTGGAAGGTGCTTACACGAGCTGATAATAAATCCAATAATGAACGGGTTTCTTGATCGGTTCACGTTCTTTCCCGGTTTCCCTGCTTCAAAGGGCACATTCACCTATTCCATTCACGATGGAAACCCGTGCCGGTTGAAGCTGCTGATCACTGAAAATTAAAAGATTAAAAAGTTCCTGGATTTCCTGAATTTTCTTCAGTGTCCGATTTGGTGCAATACAACAGATACATGGTTCAAGAGCAAAATCCCGGCCTTTGTTAATGTTTTCCCGCTCCATTTCTCTAGCCAATTTTCCACATAAAGAGCTCTTGAAACCCGTGATCAAGAGTACTGCAACCACTTGCTCGGGACACCTTATGCGCGCCACATGCCACAGGAAGGGCACCTGGACGTATGCAAAGTGTCGAGGACATTCTCCCAATGGGTAAGCTTGAACTCTCCTAATACGAACATGATTTCATTTCTCTTTAGGGGCATGGTGCACGTCGTTGTTGGCAATTCCCCAAGGGGGGGGAGTCTATTTCCGCGGCTCGCTGGAAAATTGGGGTTCGTATTTGTTCTTATTTTGCCGCCGAGAAGAAAT